CAATGTATTTATACATGGGGCAATTTTTTAAGCCTTTGAAAACTTCAGTTTATAACAAGGAGGCTAGATTCTTCCGGGACACAGCATAACAAGCTTATTACACCTATACTGACATGTCTTATGAAGTTCCAGTTACAGATAGGTAGCCGTGTTGGTCTGCCATAGTCAAAACAAAAAAAGTTTTTTCCTTCCAGTAGCACCTTAAACCAACTAAGTTAGTTCTTGGTATAAGCTTTTGTGTGCATGCACACTTCTTCAGATACTCATACCAAGAACTAACTTAGTTGGTCTTTAAGGTGCTACTGGAAGGAAAAAATTTTTTGTTATGTCTTATGAAAACAGTCTGTTGAGATTGCTCCAGTTTCAGTTGCCACATCCTTGCTTCCCCGGGCAAATTATGAACCCAACATGTAATCTTGATTGGGTACCAGTTTGTTTCTGGACACAGTCAAAATTATAACAACTTAAAGCTGGTTTTGAGTTATAAAGTCCTAAGCAATCTAGGACAAGTGTACCTGAGAGACTGCATTTTCTCATATGAACCTATGCAGCAGCTAAGCTTGTTGGAAGTACTTCTGCCTTCAGAGAGGAATCTTTTTTTTTGCTGGTTGTGCAATAAAGGTTAATGCTCTCTTCCAGATAATATCAGCTGGGGAAGTCTGTCCTATTTACTCAAGAATTTGGTGCTTCAAAATTTGAAAAACACTATACTGGCAATAGTCACATTGCATACTTGTTTACTTATTATTTTTATTTATAGACGTATTCATTTACTGCTAAATCACAAAACATGTCAAAACAGTTGACAACATTAAAAAGATTAAAATCATAAAAATTAAAAGCAGTTAAAAAGCAAAAGTTTAAAGCAAGCATTAATAAACCATTGTGGCATATGTATTCTGAATTGCCTATGCAGTCCTAGTGGAATAAAATGTTTTTCGGCATGCATTTATAAGTTGGGACAAAAGGAACTCACTGAATCTCTATTGGCAGAGTACCAGTTCAGGGAATGATTAACAATGCTCCTACCGATGATTCCAGTAATCAAGCTGGAATATAGGCAATCGTGGAAGTACCCTCGACCTAAGTTGTTTGGGGCTTTGTAAATTTATGCAAGGAACTTGGCTCAGAAGTAGATGAGCAGCCAGTGTAGCTGCTTTAACTAAAGTGCCGCGTGTCCTTGACCAGAAGCTCCCATCAGTGGTCTGCATCAGCTGGAGCTTCTGAACTAAACCCAAGGGCAGCCCCACATAGAGCACATTGCAGTAATCCAGCCTCGAGATGACCATTGCTTGGTCGGGCTATCCCTTGTCCAGGAATGGCTGTAGTCCTCTAACCGCTATTATACAGTAAAAAGGAGCAGATAGGCAGAAGATAACAAATTTACAACTAGAATTGGACACTTACTTTGTTGTATTGGTAATCCCTTTTTTATCCTCTTCCTTCCTTCCTTTCTCTCTCTCTCTCTCTCTTTTTAAGATGATATAGCTGACTCCAGATTTTTGTTTTCCCAGCAGGAATAGACTGACAGTACTGGAATGCAATCCTGCCTGCCCTTCTCCCATTGGTATGGGTTAGAATGACCATTATTATTGGCAGGGGAGCAATTGCCATTTGCATTAGAACATATATCATGTGTCCCTGCAATTTGAAGTGAAAGGGCCTTGTTGGTGGTGCCTCCCTCGCTATGAAACACTCTTTGTAAGAAACTCACCCAACATCCCTATTATCCTTTAAGGCCAGACTAAGACATTTTAAGGGACGCGGGTGGCGCTGTGGTCTAAACCACAGAGCCTAGGGCTTGCCGATCAGAAGGTCAGCGGTTCGAATCCCCTGCGACGGGGTGAGCTCCCATTGCTCGGTCCCTGCTCCTGCCAACCTGGCAGTTTGAAAGCACGTCAAGTGCAAGTAGATAAATAGGTACCACTCCGGCAGGAAGGTAAACGGCGTTTCCGTGCGTTGCTCTGGTTTGCCAGAAGCGGCTTAGTGATGCTGGCCACATGACCTGGAAGCTATCTGTGGACAAACGCCAGCTCCCTTGGCCAGTAAAGCAAGATGAGCGCCGCAACTCCCGAGTCATCCACGACTGGACTTAACAGTCAGGGGTCCCTTTATCTTTTTAAGACATTTTATTCTCCCAGACTGCTTAAATTCTTGCTATTTTAGTCCCCGTGGTATGGATGGTGGTTTTAGATCCCATGTTGCTGGCTCTTTTTAGCACCTGTGACCTGCATTGTATTTTATTGTTTTGGACTTTTTGTACTGGAATTTTTACAGTGGATGAGATTTTTAAGATTTATTGTGGGGCTTCAGTGTGATGTTTTTAATTGGTTTTATACAATGTTTGTATAGTTAAAGCTATGTTTTTCCCAGTAGTGATGTATGGAAGTGAGAGCTGGATCATAAAGAAGGCTGATCGCGAAAGAATGGATGCTTTTGAATTCTGGTGCTGGAGGAGACTCTTGAGAGTCCCATGGGCTGCAAGAAGATCAAACCTCTCCATTCTGAAGGAAATCAGCCCTGAGTGCTCACTGGAAGGACAGATCCTGAAGCTGAGGCTCCAATACTTTGGCCACCTCATGAGAAGACTCCCTGGAAAAGACCCTGATGCTGGGAAAGATTGAGGGCACTAGGAGAAGGGGACGACAGAGGACGAGATGGTTGGACAGTGTTCTTGAAGCTACAATCATGTTTGACCAAACTGCAGGAGGAAGTGGAAGACAGGATGCCTGGCTTCTCTGGTCCATGGGGTCATGAAGCATCGGACACGATTAAATGACTAAACAACAACAACAATGTCAGAGAACTCACTTTATGAGATGTCTAACAATAAATAAATATTCTGAAACAGAACAATATTTCTTCTGAATTAAAATTAGATCAGCTGTTTATAGGGCAATCATATTAATTTAATAAATTGTAGGAAGGTATAATAATGATGAATAATAATAAAGCAGGACTTGAAATCAGAATATAATTGTTATCAATGATACTATTTTTTAAAGAAAGTAAGAAAATATATAGAGTAAAATACAACTATTTCACATCAAAAACATGAGAGAAAAATCAGGAATTAAATTGATTTCAATGAAAACAAAAATTTACACTGGAGGAATTAAAAGGATTTTCATCACTAATACACCAAGCGCAATTAACATGAACAACTAAAATGGCTAAAACTTGCGACCAGGAAGGTTTCAATTAAAGGTAGAAAAGCCCTGAAAAGATTCAATAGCACTCCTTTGCCTGTATACACTGGACAGGCTGCATGTGTGTAGGGGTGCCAAACTGGGTCTTTGACCTGGGTCAAATAAAGCTTAGTTTCACCCTTGGGGCAATGTATATTTTCCACATCCATGCACACCTTTTGCACTAAAAACTGGATCCTCGTTCCCTGCTGTGTATGCGATGAGGACAGACCCTTGTTTTAATTCCTATCACTACCTACAGCTTCACTGAGGATACCGTATATTGCAGCTGCCAGCTTCCTTTTCTGGCAATTTCTTTTAATTGTTTCTTGATAAGCAGATATCCAGAACTTAAAGCTTTCCCCATCACTGCATCTCTATTCCAGCAAAAGCCGCTTTCTGAGTTTCTATTTGCCATTCAGAAGCGTTACCAGAAAAAGGAGTTGGCAAACCATATAGAGTCCAAATAAAGCCAGTTGTGCCATTGAAATCAATGGGCTTAATTTAATTGTAATTGACTGTGCAATCCCATACATATATTCCAAATACCGGTAGTAAGCCCTGTTAAACTCTGGGGTTTATTTCCAGGTTCAGTGTGTATTATCCTGTAGAATTAGAGCCTGATACTATGCGTAGTAGGGCTCTAAATCTACCGACGCCACTGGAATTAGATGCATTTAAAGGACTGGGAGGTTACTTGCTCCGATGACTGAAATGAAACTTGATACAACAAAACCAATTTGGATTGAAGCAGTAATTTGAGACTTAAGTGCGT